ATAGAAGAAAAAACTGTTTTGTTCCATTTTCTATAATATATATTTTTTTTGTTAACTTTTTTGTTCTATTTTCCACTTTTGTTTTATTCAGATGGACAGAGGAGTACTTTGAATGGCTACTTTAAGGATTTCCCCCTCACAGGCAGACATGCAAACTTCACTGAAGTTCAACAAGTCTTCACAGGTGGACTCTTCTGCTATGAACACGTCAAAAGAACATTACTTAAACAGTGAACTTAAAAAAAAACACAAACCTTGTTATCTCCTGCCAAACACATTTCACTTGACAGGTGGCAGCAGTACTGCTTGTGGCATTCCAAATTTCTTCAGCAGTGGTGTTTCTTCCACTGCCTAAATCAGACCTTTATACCGCTAGTACATCTCACCACTGGCTTACTCTGTCACTAAACATAGCTTTCTATATTCCAATGGCATCCATTACTCATGAATAATCTCCCTGAAAAAAACTGAAAATACCCTTCCTGAATCTCAGCATTTAGTCTTATCTTGCCTTCGTATTACAACTGTGTTTTTTTATCACTAGCAGTCTTTAACTTCCTGACCCACTTAGGTGTTATGTTAGGATGAATATCCAGTTAGTAATCCAGTGCCAAAAATGTAAATAATTTTCCAGTTCCAGAAATGTAGAACCATAGTCCTTTATCTAAAGATTTCTGAATACATATCCTCTTGCAATGATTGATTTTTTTGGGTTGAAGCATTTTATTATAGAACTATAATTTATATAACATAGACTCTTGGAGGCCAGTGTGTTTAACAATAAAAAATTATTGAGAAACTTGAGTATGTAGATTAGATTTTCTTTTCTTTTCTAGATTTGGGAAAGCCTCTTAGATTTATTTTTTTCCTCTCTGAATCATCTTTACCAATATATGCCTAAAGTGCAATTGTATTGAATTCACAACTTTTTTCTTTCTCTTTGAAGGAGGGAAAGAATGTGTTAGAGAGAAAAGATGGTGTTAACATCTTGGAGGTTAATGAATGCATACTGAAGAATGCTACCCATTATGTTACTGAATCAAGCATGAATCTAATTTTGGGGACTTTACTGCTTCTGTTACCTTAGGTGCAGAATGCAAAAAAACAATATTACTTGTTACTGAACTGTTTGGTTAACCTGGCTTCTACATGGTTAATGTTCAGAGATGCTCATACCAAGTGCAAAAGAGCTAAAACCTCCTTCCTCCCAGCCCATTTATCTTCACTGAAAGTAAAGGGTTTTTTTTTTGTCCTAATCATTTTCCAGTTAGTCACGTTTGTATATGAAGAAGTGGTACCTGGAGTGGTCTCCTTTTTAGCTGTTCCTGCTTCACTGCACTGCCACAGTCAAGGCCTTTTTTTTCTTGTGGTAACAGCAATCTGGAAGTATATTTTCTACTCTTTCTGCAGTATTGCTACATGCCTATCTATTAAATCTTAAATACTAATGAATCATCAAAAAAGGTATTAATGTATTGTGCTGGCCCTGTATGTAAGTCTTTTTCTTCATACTTTTATAGCAATTTCCATTAAAAAAACTCATTACAGAGATTATTGTGACATGCTTTGAAACAGTGGCACTCATTACATATTATCTATGTACTGGAGTTTGGGAAATTAATGCACCAGGAAATGAAATGACTCACCCAGGGTCACCAAAGATGCATGTTCAAGTCATGATTAAAATCCAAGCTGTAGACCTCCATTGTGTTTGCTGCACAATCTTTCTAGCTTTTTATTTGTTTATTTATTTATTTATTTTAACCACATCCTACAATTGTACATTCAGCCGGAAAAATCCCACCATGCTGCATTTGGTCTCAAACTCTAATTGGCATTTAGCCAACAATTAGTTAAATGCAGCTTGGTTTTCAGCCTTCCCTTTGTTTGCATTGGAATTCAAAGGATGGAGGGAAAGTGGAGTTACTGGGAAAGAAGAGCCAGACTGAGAAAGGTAGGGAAAGGCTGGGAAAGGTAGGCAGAGATCTAGACATGCAGAGCCCAAGGAGCTGCTCAGGTGATGGAGTGACCATGAGATGTGCAGCTGCTGTTGTTTCTTATCCACAGATGATCAGAGATATGCAGATTTTCTAGCCTCTCAGTACCAGAGAGGAGAGGGAGGAGGGAGAAACAGAGGTTAAAGGTAAGGGAGGTACAAGGAGCATCTGGAAAGGAGGGAGCTGCATGGTGGACCTTTCCTTACACTACCTGCTCTTACATGTCCACAGCCCAGGACGGTAGATTGGAGATGGTGTGTATTTTTCTTTTTACGGGTTGTGTCTTCTGTGAAAATACAACATTTTAAGTGTGCGCCTTTTTCCAAATGACACCAGTAGAGTCAATGTCTGCAGTGCCTACAGCTTTCTAATTTATGACTTGCAGGTGTGTTGCCTGGGTGTCTAAAGGAAACCTGCATTGCAGTCTTTAGAGGGATATGCAGGAACACTCCAGTTACAGGCTGCTTTTTTTTTAGCAGGTATGACAAGGAACCCTGTTCTTGGGGTTAGGTGACCAAGAATCCCTGACATCTGTAGTAACTGTGCCTGCTGTGCAGCACATAAAACTCTTTAGACATTAACGTATTAACATTGATACTTAGTCATCATGTAGGGTTGGGCATTAATTTCTTAACTTCTGTTTTTCTTTTAATGCCAGATGGAGAGAAACAAGCATGAAATTCAGAGTAGCAAAATTGTAATTTATATATATTAATGGGTGAAATATAATTTTAAGGAAATTTGTCTTCATTTCTGAGACTTCCTGGGTAGTTCATCTTAGGTTTAATTAAAGAAAACAGATGTGTAAAAGGTTTCATTTTTAATGTTAATAGTAAAAATACCCCATATATGTTTATCTTTTTCAGTCCACTTTAGATTTTGTGCAACACCACTCATCTGTAAACTACTATATACATATGCAGTATGACATAAAGAATAATATTTCAAGCTAGAGAGATAGATTGTCTTTTTGATTCTTTTGCAAATGCAGTTTGAGAATAGCCAGCTACTGAGGCTGCAGATTTAAACCATAAATCTGGAACCAATTGAAATCATTTCTGAAAGTGTTCTGTAGTGGGTTTAAAGACTGTGATGCCACACACCATCCAGGAACTGGACCCCTTTGACTCACAAGATCTTTTATCTTCCAATACAAAATCTGCAGTTCAGTTAATAAAGCTTCCCATTTCCTGCTTTTCTTATCAATAATACTTCTGTTTCTTTAGGCAGGCTAAATGTAGGGTAATCTTTTGATCTGCTTGAGAAGATAACTTTGTAATGCAAATAAAACAAGCCTCATTCTCCAACTCAATTCTCTCCTGTTTCAATTTTTACACTCAGCATCAGATAGGTTACTGACTGTCTAGGTATATGTACTTTGTAAATCCAGATTTTAGTTTTGCTGGGATAATATCAATTGGTCAATTGAAATCTAAGTAATTCCCAATTTTAGAAAATGAGAAGTTGCTTGAAAGCAGCTTGTTGTGTTGTAGGACTTCATTAGTCCTCAAAACTTGTGCTGCTGTGAAGTTCTAGTACTTGCAGAAATTCTCGTAATATTGAAATAAAAACAATACATAGATGAAGAGACAAGGTCACTAGAAATTTTCATGAGGAGTCATTTTTATTAAATATTATTTAGAAGGCTAAGCTCAGCTTTCTAGGAAAAGATTTTGCATATATATATATTTTTTTTTTTAAGAAGTTCTGATCTATGAGTAACATACCTGGTGAATTCAAAGAATAAAACTTATTCATAAAACAAACAAAAAAATCTGGTTGAGGGGGAATACATTACCTACAATGAATGCAATTACCTACAGCTGAGACCATGATTTCTCATACAAGAAAAATTAGGAAGTAAAAATGGAAAATCATGAAGGATAAAAAAGTTATTGCCTCTTCACATTGAACCTCAGATCTCCTCCCTTCCAAGGAGAGGCCATCCAGAAGAATAAAACTAATAAAATACTTGAATTGTTAGTGAAAATCGTTCTAGATAACAGGAATACAAGGATCATGTCAGCTTAAAAGATTGTGGAAAGTAGCCTTTACTTTTTTTTTCCCTAAATTTTAACAAAAGACACATTATTATTAATGTATTTATATATTTCTGAGAGTACATCAGGCTCTCATTCATGTAGTACATCCTCTTGAGTTAAAAACTGATATAGAGTCCAGTTTTTTATTACTTCACTGTTTGGTGGATTCTGTGTTTATTGATAAGGTAGAGTAGAAATATGCGCAACCACAACAATGGAGAATTACAGATCTAACTAGGAAGCGTCAATATGAAATTATTGCAAACAGTAAAAATATTATATTATCCTAAAACATGCATAGATTAATACTGATAAATACACTCAGATTTTGTTTTCCAGACAGGTTGTTGCATTGTCGAAGATGTTTTAAACAGATCTAATGCTAAGTCCTGCACAAGTTTGTGCAGGTTATTACTCACCTCAAATATTCATTTCTGTTGTCAGCTTTAGTGCAAATTGCATTTCTTTTTTATTTTAAAATGTAACCAGTTCATTCAAGCTTAGTTTTGCCTTCAAATCAGTCATGTTCCAATTTTAAGCAGCTCCATAAGACTTAGGTTAGGTTTCTTTCCTAAGAAAAATACACAAAAAATGTAACAGTGTGGCTTGTTTTGACAAATTTCAACATGAGTCACAAATACTCAGGATTCTTACACCTTTGAAAAAGAATTTTCAAGCTGCATAATTTTGATCCCAAAATACTATCTCATGACAAGTTATCAAAAATAAATTCTCAGTCCTGAAGACACTACTTTTTATAACTAGTCACAGAATGATGACCTCTTATGTATAGGAAGTGTCTTATCTTCTCTTTAGATTGTATACTCCCTTAATAATAGACAAATATTTAACTGCAGTGTCAGAAAAATTGAGAAATTCTGTTGGTTTTGGATACATGGCATTGAAGAATTCTGTTTGCTTCTGTTGATGAAACCTGAAGATCTGGGCTTCATCAGTTGTCATAGTACTCATGCATAATGCTAAAAAATCTTTAGTAATGAAAACTTTACTCTGAGACGGATTTTGATAGGAATCTAGACTCTGATGCAACTGCACTGAGACCTCGAACCTGGTGTTTCTTAGAATGTGAAAGTAAAAGGCATATGATGTTTTGTTTATTCCAAAAGAAAACTATCCATTTTACATGAAGGGCACATGGTGCACAGAGATATGCATAAAACTATGTCACACTGTAATCACTGATTCCAGTAATTTTTGAGATGGACCATGCAGCTATCATTACTGCTGGTCTCCAGCTCTGTGGAAGTAAGGCTGCTTTCTTATTTCTAGTTAACAACTTTCCTTTTTTTATGGCATCATGACAGATATAATTGCAACTCACAAATGTGTTACTGTGTAGTTCAAGCAAATTTTAACTATTCAATGATATTCAGAAGTTAGAAGTAATAATGATTTCTAGGGTTTGCTTTTTTTTTTTAGAGAAAATATTCTGCAGAATTTGTCTTGTAGTGCTGCCAAAGTTGTTTCTGAGTTATTCTATAATTTCAATTTTCAATTATGTTAATTCTGAAATGGAATTTCTATGTGTGCTTTAACCAGCGTGAAAGGAAAATTTGCAGATTCAAATGTAAAACTTACTGTGAAGGTGAAACTGCAATGCATATACCCCAAAAAAGCCACGAAAAGCCAGACATCCTGGATGAAACTTAATGTAACTCATAAAGAAAATATAGCTGTCTTTCACCCAATCAATGGTATACATATTGAAGACAAATACAACTGCAGAATTCCCTTTGAAAATGCTTCCAGTGAAGACAAGTCCTTGTCCTTCATCAAGAGCACTTTGAAGAATGTTGGTATACACTTTTGCTCCATCGTAACTTACCCAGATGGTATTTGGGAAAAAGTAATACAAACTGTTCTGCCAGGTAAGTAAATCTCTCATTTTTTTAAAAAATTCTGATATATGCAAAGCAGAAAGCCATGCCAATTTAGGAAGTGTCTCGTATTGTAATTTTTCTTTTTAATTATATAGCATGCAGAAATGGAATAATCCATGGAAAAGAACAAGAACAACAGAAAAGAATTATATTACTTTGACAAAATGTAATTTTAAGAGAAGCGGAAAATTAAGAAGGGGAAATTACGTTGACAAGAAGTTACAGCAGCAATGAATTACATGACAGACTTTAGATACTAATGGTCAATGTAACGGTGATATTTCCATTGGGCCAAGTTTCTCATAGCAGTTCAACAGCTATAGGATCTCTTCAGAGGATGAAATTGCAACTACCCATGAAATTACAGGGATGAATTTTGTAACCCATGAACCATATTTTAATCTTTGTGTTGTATGGTGAGGGAATTCCTGGTCTGAAACTAGGGCTGCTTTTTTTCTTGAAGCTCTTCTGTATGTGCTTGTTCAGGAACAAAATTACTATTTAGGAATGGTGTGGCATCAAAAGGGAGAGAAGTAGGGAAGTTTAAGAAAAAAAAGGAGACTTTTTTAAAAATGGAAAAGGGAAGAGGGAAACAAAAAGATTCGACTACGTCAATGTAAATTCTGTGTAGCTGTCCATGTCCAAAGGCTTTGTAATTACCTGATCACTCATCCAACTTGATCTCTTTTCCAGCTCTATGAGTAAGAGGAGAAAGAACCCTTTTTTAGTATTTTCCCATGTGTGTCTATCAGCATTGGTCAACTGGCAACTCTAATGCAAATAATGAAGCTTCTCTGACAGCAGACAAGTCCTTAGAAGATCGTTATGTACACGTGATAGAATAGTTTTCAAAAGATAACTAGTTCTGTGTATTGGTTTATTGATTTGGTGTTGTGAGTGTAGAAAGAATTTGTTCCTCTTTTCCATTCTCCAAAGTGAAAATAAACCTCATTCAATATTTTATTGTATTTCCCAGATAGGGAAGAATGAGTTGAAATACAGATTAACTTCCTATCATTTCAAAGTCCAGAAGATAAAAGTAACAGCCCTTTCCTAGCCTGATCCTTCTGAGACTTCATCTCAAACCTGTTTTAACTACAATTCTATCATTTCAATGTTACAATGAAACAGCGAACCTGACTCTTGTAGGACATACCTGAACTTCAAAAATCCAACATAGATTGTTTCTGCCTGCACCACTAAATTTTTGAAATTTGATTTTAGCCAGTGCATTTGTTGATGGCACAGATGAAATAGGAATCCCACTCTATCTTCCTGTCTCTGCTAGCATTTTATTAGTAAACTACTGCTCATCAAATCAGAAATTGAGCCCTGATTTTGAAAAAAATCATTCTGTCTCCCTGGATTGTTTAGTTAGGTAAGATAGCTTGGAATTTTAAAGATTTCCCTCTGTGGGGCACATCAGCATAGCCATACAATTCGCAGTCATTCACACGTAAAAGGGAATGTCCTGCTAGTGAAAGAGCTGATCAAGGTCCTTCAGAGTAGGACACTGCAGCCCAGGTCAGAGTGTCTCAACTGTGACCCTTTAGCGGCATCTCTGCATGCTTGCTTCACTCTGGTGTCTTTTTTATTATATAAGGACTAATGTTACTGAAGTAGTGTCTCCTTAGTTTCTTTTCCTCTGTCAGTCCATTTATGCGCTGTATTGTTGCAAGTGTAGGTATTAGAAACATACATTTTGGTTGCATTCAGATAAGCTAAGATATGAAAATTCAGGTTGCTGATTACAAAAAGGAGCAAGCAAAGGCAAAACAAATCCCTTATTTGATTCAGTCCATCCTGAGTTCTGGAAGTGCTGAGCCCTTAGTTACAGAGGGTTCACTTTCTGTAAAATCCTAAAAGTTAAGTGCAGTAGAGATCTGCAAGTTTATTAAGTCCTTTTCCTGGCCAAGGCAGTACTGATCTCAGCTATTTGTTCTTGAATTTACAGGCTAGGGTTAATCTGAAACAATGCAAGAAACAAGGCAGTCACTTTCCTGTGGGATGTATTATATACACCTGTATTAGACAACCCACTTACAGATTTCAGCACAGTGTATACCATGCAAAGAGAGATCAGTTACCAAAAGTATGGTTTTTAAAACAATACTGTGGGATTCAGTATTCTCAGTAGATGGGATTTCTGTCTTGGTTTGAGCACACTTAAAACAGAAACATAAACCAACATCAGGCACACCCTCCACCCCCCATTTTTTCAAGTATATCAATTTAATCCTGCTACAGAGGGAGATAATAATGCTGAAGGAAATTTAATCCTTTTCCATTAAATGAATCACAGTTTTTGAGAACAATCCTATTAAGATCTCAATAGATGCCTATAAACATGTTTTTTATAAACACTGATCCAAAAAGAATGAAGTGTACCATCAGCAAAGATAAAATATTACAACTTCAATCTACATTGCAAATTAAATATGCAACAGTAGTACAGTAGTGTCACTAGATCCAGCAACTCAAGTGTTAACAAGCCTGAAACTATATGATCAATCAATTAAAAAAATTTGGGGTCATAGGAAGAGAAGAAAGAAGAAATTTGAGTATTTGAAAGAAAGAAGTCAGGTATTTGAGAAGCAGTAAGCACTTATTATTAATATTTCAACAACATTCTTATTTATTTCCCTTTATAGTAAAGATGTCTTTATAAAGAAAAAGTCCATTCTGGTTACAGTCGTTCATATATGATTAAAGATGCTATCAAGTGATTTGCGGTGTATGAGGTGGTAAAATAATACTGGAGAGACTCTATTTAGGACTCTGCTCCTGGCTTAGTCGTCTGGCTGGTGATCAAAAGCTCAGCCCCCACCATGGTCTGGGTGGGGTGAAGATGATTCTTTTTCTAGCAGGGACAAAAGTAAAAAAAAAAACAAACCATACTTAATCTTGGAAAGACAATGGTTGAGCTGTCAAGAGAATCTGAGATCCCAAGAGAAAGAGAAGGTTATAGAGGTCTTTTCTTGATGTACTATCCTAGCACCACTGGAAGATGGAAGACCTTGGAACTGGTGATAAATCACAGCTTATATAAAATTTTTGATGGAATTATTGTGGTGATTTTGTTGTTGTTGTTTTAACTAGTTGTGGGCTCTGTATCAGAATACATAATAAAAATGGTTTTTGTTATTTTTGCTTTAAATTTTAGATAAAGATTTCCTACAACATCTATGAAATAGGTGAGAAAGAACTCCTTCAGACAGCACACCATTATCCATGCTTCCTTTATTGGCAGTTACTGAAACATACTGACAGAAAAGCAATAATACTCAGGATATCATATTGGAAACTTCACATGCAACTTCAGGATAGTCTTACAAGTGGATGCAGTGCTGAAATTGTGTGCCATAATTGCAAAGAACTCGAGAGTATGTTCTGGCACTGTTATACATGAGCATATTGGCAAGGAATAGTCTAGCTATCCCACAGGAAGGTACTTGCCAGCTGGGTGAATCTGTTGCTTCTTTTTCTTCCTGTAATGTGAGCATACACCCAACAGTGTTCAGAACAGAATTCAGGGGGAATTTTGAGTCACAAATACTCCTGCACTAAGCAAACAAAACTCATACTTTCAGAGAAAACTTGTACATTTTTTATAAGACATGAAGATGTAGGAATAGCTTTATTTCACCTTTATTTCTCATTCATAAACAGCTTAAGTATGATCTGTAGTTTCTTATATAGAGTGCTTAGAAATTATATCTGAAGACTGATTTTGCATGCAGTATGAAAGCGAGGAGAAGAGACAGAAGTCACTACTAATAGAGGAAACATTAGGTTTGGAGACGTCATGCAGAAATTGATCATCAAAAAGATGTTATTTTATACACTTGCTGCCTCGAAGAGAAGGCATTTGAAGCTGCAGGTGTTGTAATTTTACTTTCAAATGAAAGAGCATTGAGAGAGCAGTGTACTCCATCAGTCCATTGGGCAGGAGTGCATAGAGGTGCATGTTTAATTGTCACCCCAGGTGGCCACTCAAAACAGAGTACTCAGCTGTGTCATTTTGCCATTTGCTATCCATGTACCTAACAACAGCAAAGCAGCAGCAGGAACTCTGCTACTTTCTTTTGTTTTGAATTATAAACTTTTACAAAGAAATGTATACAGAGAAAGGATACGTTTCCAGTCTCTAGCACTTTAGAATGGCTATTGGAATCACCATTATTTACAAAGGAATTGGCAAAATTCCTTTTTCTTCACACTATATCCTCTGTCTTTTTCTAGTTTGCCCAGATCTTTGTTTACCTATAGCCAATTGAGTCATAGGTCCATTTGTTTATTTTGATCATTTTCCAGACCTGTCTTCAGTTTTGTATTCTTTGCCTGTAATGGTAATCTTGCCCTTTTCTGTCTTGACCTTATGAAAGTATGAGGCATTTCTTTGTTGGCTGCAGTTCAGTGAAATACTTTGCACGTTACCAGACCACTGTCTTAATGCCTCCCACATACCTGCAAGTTATAATCTGAGTCATTCTGATTTAAGAAGTCCTGGTACGTACATCTGGCTTTGTGGGCTTCACACATCCTCCCAGATTACTTGGCCTTATTAATAGTTAGTTCTCTAGCTTGCATTGCATTAAAATGTAGCAATCCCTGGATTAGGAGGCGTTGCTTCCATTGAAATGTATAATTAAAACATTATTTTATATTTAACAGAATCAGTGATGATTGAGTGTAGGCAAAAACTGTCTTAGAAGCAAAGTAAATTAGCTTTGTGATGCAGAACTCAATCAGTTGAAGTTAGATCAGCAATCCTAAAATACATGATAGGCAAATTTACATTGTAAATTTCACTTAAAATATAGAATGTAATAAACATCATTAGAGAGATCGCAAAACGATATTGTTCTACTCCTATAGACTATGTCTTTGTTAAACGTCTAGATGGAAAGTCAAAAGTCTTCAGCCATGAAAAATTATGTGATATATATAACCTGTTTATTTGAAAGCTGGCCTTTATGGCAGAGCACTGCTGTGTGCTTATTTACATAAAGAATAGATATAGTTAAAATTACCTGAAATATTTTTGTCCTGCATTTGTTTATTTGTCTTTCAAAACTATTGAATTCTAACATGAATTTCTGTATATTTTGAAACTTACGTTTATTTTTTTCAGGCATTTTATTTCCGTTAAGTGTTAAAATTAATACTAGTTTGATTTAAAAATTCCCTTGCTATGCTTGGAATAGAATGAGAAATATACTTTTGATCCTTATACACCTTTTACACCCATTATATGAATTATGGAGAGTTGCATAATTGGCTGTGGGGGTGTAGCTGTTATATGATTGGAAATTTTCTTTCTTTCTTTTTCTTTTTTTAATTCATGAGTAAATTTGTGTTTCTGTCAATCAGTGACAATGGACCATTTGCTCAGGGGATATATTTTGCTAGCAACTCTGAACAAGAATGAAAGTTCATTAATAGAGTATTTAAATGCCAGATGTACCATGAAGTACTCCAGTATTTTAAATAGAGTGATCAACCTCTTCTGTGATAGCAGAGACAGAGCTTTTCTATTCTTAGCTAGTGTGATGATATCCATGCCACTCAGCACTTACTTCTATATTAATATTCTTCTGCCTGCCAAAAGCAGCACGTTGCCTAGAGTTTTTTCAAGTCCCTATTCACCTGAAATAGCTTGCTTTCTATTTATCTCTCTCAATTTAGAATGTGATTCATAGGTCTAACAGTGAAAAATTATCAACCCTTTAAAGCACATGGAAACAAGAACTAACCCTAAGGGATCTTCATTCTTTGGCTCTTAGACACTGAACTCCCCAGAGCAAGTATACTCTCTGTATTTTATACAGTATCAACCACATTGTCAGCACCTAATTAGAAAGGAAGAAGATATAGGCAAGTGAAAATGCCTTCTTCACAACTCTGCTGTGATTATTGACCTGTTAAATGCTGCTTTTCTTACTTTTTATCTTCTGTGATGAACTAAGGATTACATGCCCCTTTGGTATAACAGACCAGGGGAAAAAAAAAAGCCAAACCCAAACCAGCTGTGTTGGGAGTAGAGTACGTATCTCCTTTTCCTTTCTGAAGGAAAAGCTTAGATCAAAAGGAATTATAGAATTGTGGAAAACTCGGGCTGGAAGAGACATTCCAAATTAATATCACCATCTCTGCATTCTGAGGCAGGATAAGCATATTTGTATCATCCCTGAGTGATTCCCATGTTGGAAACGCATAAAACTCTTGTGTAGTCATTCTAGTGTTTAACCAGCCTTACAAGGAGCATTTTTTCCCCCATTGTATCTAACCCACATAT